ACTCCTTGAATTTAGGATTAAGAATGGCCACTGGCTCTTTGGGTGAAGAGAGGTGCATGGGTGCCCACAGAGGAGGGTTTGGGTTCCAGGTGTACCTCTGGTTGGAATTTCCCATCAGGGACAGTCAGTTCCCTTTGGAATGACCAGCTCTGGGTGGTTCCTTGTGCAGCAAAGCCTCTGGGGCTCACAGTCAGGCAGGGTCAGGCCTGCACAGGGTTTCTGAATGTCTTTATAATTTCTCAAGCCTTGTCAAAGGCAAACACTGAGCCTGCATTGAGGCTGGATCCCCCACGGGATGCCCGGGAGATTTCCTCGTCCCTGCTGAAGGTCTGTGCCAGGGCAACTGTGCCAACACCCAGGTGGGTGTCGGGCACAGAGCAGGTGGTGAACTCCAGCAGCAGCACTGGCTGGGGACAGGTGCTGGGGATGGAGACAGAGACAGGGGCTAGGGACAATGTGCAGCTCCCTTGCAAGAATGGAAAATGTACAAATAATGTCATCTTCAAAGTTCCGTGTACCTGGAACTAAGAGGTACTGACAAGCATCTTAAAGAGAGAATTATCCCCATTTTACAAATGAAAGGGAGTCACACAGAGAATCAAAGTCAGAATTGGATTAATAGACATTGATGCCAGAGCAGCTATTATGTCTTGTCTGGCATCAGGCAGAACAGAGTGGAGAATTTCACACAGATTTCTCCATGAAATCCCTAATTTCTGTTTGGGCTGAGGAAAAGACCTCCAGAGCTGACACAAAGACACTGCACCATCTTCAAGTGAGTTGCTTGTGGGGCACTACTGGAAGTTCACATCATATCCCAATATATTTTTTTCTACTGCCTCAGCTAATTTCCAAGGCTGGGCAGGGTGCTGGATAATCTTATCTAGGACCCCATTCCCATGGAAGTTTGGCTCACATGATCTTTCGATGTCCCTTCCAACCTGGGCTGTTCTATAATCCTGTGAAAAGGTTTTTTATATTGGAACTGATGTGTGTGCTTAAAAGTTTTCTTGGGGACCTAAAAAGGTCTTGGGGACCAAATCCAGCACCAGTGAGAGTGAATGTTCCCAGCTTCCCTGCTGAGAATGATTTGGATCTTTCCAAATGACAGTCTATTCTGAACTGTCAGTTCTGTGGCATTTTCCTCTACATCTGTGCTTGATGTGTGATTATCCTGAAGTTCATCAGGCAGGTTTATTAGGAGACTTAATTGGATTGCATTAACTGGCATTTAAGCCATCCAAGCCATTTGAGAATGCAATCAATTAAAACATCCAAACACATTAATGGTGTGGACACAGGGCAATTTATATAGATGGCTAATTACTTGTTTACTTCAGGAAGCAGATCAAGAATGGCCAAATGATGCTTGAGAAGAAAAGAAAACTGCAAAAATCCTGTTGGCAAGGCTGCAAAAATTAGCACATGACAAAGTATAATTGTTTCCATTGTTAAAGTCTACAGTTAGAGAATAAACCCTACACCATGACAGGTACTCAGAGGTGTTTGAAATGATTTCAGATTTGAATGTGACTTCCGGAGAACAGACTGAGCACATTACCAGTGCTGGAATGTCTTATAATGGCACATCTGAGGTTTCTAAGCAATCAAGAAGCTCTCTGAGATGGTCATTTCAAGTGGGGAAATGCTAATCCCTGTCAGTTTTATATTTCATCCACTACTGATCTTGATCTGAGACTGGGATTACGTGGGCACTCCAGGTCCTTCACCCTGGGTGACTCTGAAGGAAGTGATTTTGGTGTGGCAGCACCCATCTGGAGATGAAAGCACAGCTGAAGGGTGTAACTAAATGAAAACCAGGGTGGAATGGAATCATTACCACCCTCCTGTGCTTCCTGCTTCCTCCTACAATCTCCCCCACCAGCTTTACAGCTAATTTTTTTCATTTACTGGTGCAATTCAAGAATGAGGTATGCATACTGATTATCACCTACTGCTCTTAATTTCCTTTATTGTCCAGGGGGAAAATCCTATTCTCATTTATTTTCTACAACTCCTGGCTTTTTGGGGTTGTGTTGGGAACATACAAACACAAAAATGATCAGGTTGGGTGGTGACACACCTAAAGCCACAGCTGCTCTGGCACAGAACAAGTCCCCAGTGGCTCTCAGGGACACAAGGGAGCCTTGCCAAGGTTTAGAGCAGGTCATGGCCATGCATCTTGCACTCGACTTTGGAAGTGAATTAATTGAAAATTACCTGGTTGCACACATCTTAGAGGTGAAGGTTCCACGCCTGTATTGAGCTGTGGGACCAAGAGGGTTGGTGGCACCAGGCTGTGACTTCAGGGAGGGCCAGGATAGAAGCTGTTTTCTCACTTTTCCCAATTGCTGGTTCATTAATGAGGAACGAAAACCAGCATCACTGTGAACATGAGTGGTTTCCACTCTCTGCTGGCATCTTTAGGACTGGCTCATGTTCTCCAGCCTCCCATTTGGGGTGGAAATTTGTTCCCCACTCGTCCTCAAACATCCTCAGCTGATGAGAACTACAACCAGCAATATTAACTATGTTTGTTTTCTGCCCTCCAGGCACTTCTGGGAGCCAATAAACCACAGCTCCTGTGCTCAGGGGTGTCTGTGCACATCTGTGGGCAGGTGCAGTCTCTACAGAATTTACAGAACATGGATATGGAAAAGTCATTCCTGAAATGTGCAGCAGGAGGAGGACGGGAAAGAGCTTCCTGAATCCCACAGCTTTGGAATGCTGTGCCTCCTAGATAATGAACCGCTTTTCTTAAGGTGCTGCTGAGCAATGGCTGAGTGAAGCAGCAGATCCCAGCACAGACCAGTGTGGCTGAAATCCAACTGAAGCAGCCAAGGCTCCAAAGGCAGGCTCCAATGCCAGTGATAATTTCATGTATCACATTAAATTTCTAGTGACAGCGACTCCTTGGAGCCCTGGCAAATTGGAAACTGCTGGATGCAGCAGCAGCACAAGAATAACAGTTAATCTTCTGCAGGGGCATGATGGTAAAAGAAATGGCTTTTAGATTAGCTGTCATTAGAGTGAAACATCTACCCCTGCAAGCTAAGGGGACTGTCCTCACTTGGGCACAAAGAAGCTCATTAAATTCCTGGGTTTGTACAGCTCTGATCCAGAGCCACACTTCCACCACACTCTGAAGCTGGGAAGCACAATGACTTGAGCTAAAAGGAAGGAAGATGAATTCCCTGGAGATGTGTCAGCTTCCAAAGCAGCTGCAGAAGTTGGTTCATGTGTTTAGATTCCCTTAGTACCTGGGAGCACACAGCGAAGTGAAATAGGAAAAATTAATGGGAGTGATGGGGTTTAAAAGGAAATTAAACCTTCTAAGATGACAAAAGCTCAAAGTTGAGCTCTGCCTGAACTCTGAGCATAAGTTTCCAGTGGAATATTTAATTTCAAACACTGCCATTATTTCTAAGCTGTTCTTTGCCTGCTGGACTGCAGAACATGAGGTCAGGAAACTTCCCTTGTCTAACTATTTGTGATGCAAATATTCTCACATCTGATTTTCCTTTCACATACTTAGAAGGAATGTTGAATACTTTAGAGGGGCAAGCCTGGCAGGATACTGTTTGTACAGGAACACTCTCAACCATGATTTCAGTTTTCTTGCATTGTTCATTACTTAGTGATGATGTGCAACATGGTTATTAAGGTTGCAGAATACTTTAAAGGAACAAAATTTATGGAGAGAAAAATAAATGGTTGGTAGTGTCTGTATAGAGCTCATAGGTGAATAAACTGTAGATATTTAAGCTGTAATTAATTAATGACTGCAGCTTTGAGCTGGATTACAAACAGGTATCCAGTTTCATCTTTTATTAGGCCTTATTTTCTTCTTGATTGCATTAATCTTGATTAATGTAAATATATTTGAATTGAATATATTTGAATTCTTCTTGTGTGACATTTGGAGCAGAATTCCTTGAGGGTATGTCCTACGGCACATTGTACCAGGAGCAATAAAGTTCCTTTTCTAATTCAGCCTTGGGCTGCTCACACAGTGAGGAAAGGGTCTCAAAGCAGTGGGAAACAGCTCCACAATCCCCATGAATTACAGCTCAACATTAAAGAAAGGCACAGAAATGATTGCTGCAGGATTTCCAGCCAGATTCTTTAAACCAGAAGCAGAACTGAATTAATTAATTAATTAATTCAAAGAAAATGGCTTTTATATACTATACAATTATGGAGTGGTTTGGGCTGGGAGGGACCTTAAAGCTCACCTGGTTTCACCCCTGCCATGGGCAGGGACACCTCCCACTATCCCAGCTTGCTACAAGCCCTCTCCTAGAAATTGGTTGGAAGAGTAAGAACAAAATAGAGAATTAAAGAATAAATTAGAAGCTTTAGCACAGGCAAAGGACTTTAGTGGGCACAGACAGAGGACAATGAAAATAAAAGAAACTAATGAAAATGCTGATGAGAAGAGTCAGGAGCTTCTGGGAGAAGCAGCCATTCCTCAAGGCTATGAGGAATAGGCAGTTACCTGAAACGGAATTTTTTTCAGAATAACTCTCTAGCAGTCTTGCAGGGATGCCTGCAGTCCTTATTTTTAAAGAAAAATATTTCTTTGGGAGCAATAAATGCATTCTGTCCAGGAGAATACATTGCTTAACAAAAAGAACAGGCCAAAATACCCCAAACTTCCAGACTAATGGAGGGAATATTACCCTGGGAGCAGGACAACTGGATTGTCTTCCCAGTGCGTTCCATGGTCTGAAAAAAGTGAGATATCATGTTTTCACATAATAGAAAGACTCCCAGAAAAAATTCCAAATCCCTAAACATCAACTTCTCAAAAATTTTTCAAGACACAGAGAATTTCCAGTCTGTTGGTTATTACTTGAAGGAAAACATTACCAATTTTTTTTTTTCGAAGCTTGCAAATGGAGCCAACAATTGTTTAAAAATATAATTTCATTCTTGGAAAGAAGCTCTCCTGCAGCATCTTGATGCCCATTAGGGGGAAAAAATCCTCATCAGTGTCACTAAGATTAAAATCAAATTTGAAGGGCAAGAAGCCCAGTCTTACCTGCGCTCTTAGGGCAGAAAAAAGTAGCATGCAGAGAAAAGAAAAAGATGGAAAGTTCCAGGTGGTATCATTGCTATGGGTTGATCCCATGGCTGCTGAATGAAGTTCTACCCTGGAATGTTGACTTTGAGACAACAGCAGCAGAACAAAAAAGAAAATGCTCCTTCTTCTCTTTTATCCTAATCAAAGAAGCAGAGCAGTTCTCAGCTTTGCTTTAATCTTTGTTTTCAGCAGTAGTTTCTGTTTTTCTCCACCATTATATTATCACACTCCAAAAACATTGGTACTACTCCTTTGGAACAGCCAAAACAAAGAAAGGAGCTGCTGCCCTGGGCCCCATCTAGGGTTCTTTCTGCTTCTGGACTGAGCTGAGGGCTCCCATCACTCAGGTGAATCCCTAGGGATGTCCCAGCACTGCCTCTGGGGTACCCCAAGTCCACCTGAAAGCTGGAAAACAGGCACATGACAGCAGGACAAGTCCTCCTGGGCTGACTCCATGCTGTCCAGCAGGGAGGAGGAGGAAGGAATGCTGCAGCAGTGGGAGAAATTCCATCTTGGATGCTGCCTCTGGCCTCCTGCTTGTGCATCACCATTTCTGGATGAGCTACAGGGCTGGCTATGGGGCTTGAACACCCAGGAGTATGAGGGATGAGAACCAGCAGCTCTGGCAGACACCCCAATGGAGAGATGATCCCTGATATCTGCCGTGACAAAGGGAGACACTGGATCTGGGAATCCAAGGTGAAGCCTGGAATGAAGCTGCTCATGTGCCCTGGATATCAGGGCAGGAGTCCCTGGAGTGGATGTTTGATCTCTGTTGAGTCTCACCCTTCACCTGATCTGTTATTTCACTGTTCCCTGGGGCAGTAGAACAGTTTGTTTGGCATTTGTGCTGCCCCATCCCTGATATTGGTGCTGATCCTGGCAAATGCACTGCATTCCCACCAGGGCAGATCCTTTATCCAGAAGTGGGGCAGGAGAGGAGTGTAACACAAATGGGCCTTCACAAAAATGTAACAAGAGTTAGTTTTGACTGATACTTTTGACTGGCCCATAAAAATAAGGCAAATTGATTGAACAGTACGTGTTAGAGCTTATCAAATACCAGCTAGGAAATGTGTGATTATTATTCATGAGCTGCAAGGGATTTGACTGTTTTCCTTCAGTAGGACTGGAACCCCTGTGCTAGAATTCATTGTTTAGCCAGAAAAAAAATACTTTTCTCACAATGGGGAGTTTACATAATCCACAGTAATTTTAAGGAATGCTGCAATTTGCTTATTTTCCTTGTTGCTTTCTTGGTCAGTTTTGTTTTGCTGCCTCAAACTTTCTACTCCTAATTCTGCTGTCCCATGTTCAGTGTCATGTCTGTTGCATATTTATCATGAGCTTCTCATCATTCTCATCTTTCTCATCTTTTCTTCATTCTTGCAGCCTCCCAGAAAGCAATCAGAGTGAAAAATCCCCAAACAGAGAAATCAATGTATGCTACAGCTTGATGCCTCTATTTTGACTCTTGCTTTCAGCTTCCGGAGCTCAGCACTTTTATCAATTTTAAGCCCATAGTCTATGATTTTCCAGGCCTCTTCGTAACACTGCTTTTCAAAGTTAAATTGTGCAATTTTGTGAAATGTTTTGGTTAAAGATTCCCTGCCAGGGCAGTCAGTGATGGTGTCCAGGGCCAGGGGCTCGTCCAGCTGCAGAGCCTCTATGTAGTGCTGCACTGCTGCCTCCTCCTGAGCCAGGGCCAGCAGCAGGAAGCCCTGGCAGCAGTGGTCCCCAGCCCGTGTTTTTGGGCTGTTACAGCCGTGTACCTGGGTCACTTTTTCCATGTCTTTCAGAGCTTTTTCATATTTTTTCAGGTGCATGAGGCAGGCAGCTCTGCGCCGCAGGTACCTGGGGCTGTACTGGCTGGCCAGTACAGCCAGGCTGTGGTAGCCCAGAGCCTGCTCATGGTGATGGCCTTTCATCAGCACCTTCCCTTCCTGGGCTGCTGCCTGTCTGGACTGGTCATAGACACAAACACTAAGAAATCTTAGTTATTTTATCAAATGTTGGAATTGCATCTAGCTGGAGAACTAGTAACTGATGTATTTTTACATACAGATAAGATATAAAACTCTTGGCTCACTGGGCACTTGCTGTTATCTCTGAAGTCCTTTGTTTCTGCATGTCTGTCAGAATTTCTTCTGAATTTTCTTACATTCCTTAGGAATGATGAACAAAAAAGCTGCCTGGACCAACGTCCCAGGTGCTGGCCCACAAGTGCAAGGATCAAAAATGAATTTTTTTGGCTCTACTGGAGCTTACCTAAGCTGTAGGGGAAAAAAACAAAAAGGACCAACTGATGGCTCTGCTAATTGTTAATCCTGAGTGCAATTTGAACTCTCTGCCCTCATCTGAAGGGAAAAATCAACAAGGAAATAGAGAAAGCTGAAAAAGCCACAGAATTTTTAGGTTCATGGAGGTCAATAAAGAAAACTCCATTAGAGCTATTTGCCTTAAATACATTTCTCATCATTCCCCTTTATTGGTAATAAATAAAGCTTTTAACATGCTGCAGCTGAGTGAATATTCAAGTTATAAACAAGGCTGACATCAGCAGCTGAGGGCTTACAAAAGGCTGGGCCAAATTAGCTGAGGCTTCAAGCAAAGGATAAATGTTTCTACCCTCCTCTTTTCATGGGGTAACTCTTGCTTGTGGATGCAGAAATCTAGTTAGCCCAGCCACTGTCTCAGTAGCCTCACTTGGCAGCCAGTCAGGTCCTCCAGTTTCTTTGTGTGCCCCTTTTATTTTGGCTGACTGAGGTTAGAACTGATTGCTGTCTGCCAGGACTGAGGAAAACAGGTTCTGCAGGAAGAGGATCAATACTGCAGGGCAAGTCCCAGCACCTCATCTGAGAGCAGTGGCATGAAATAATTTACCCTTTCCTCATGGTTTATGAAGAATTCTGCCCCAGTTATTTCATTATTATGCACATAATACATATATATATTGCTTGACATAGTCATATTTATTAAGGACTCTCTCAGCTTCCACACAGAAAAATAGCAGTAGGACCTCTCCCCAGATTGTGTCAACCCCTCACTTTAACAATTCTGGCCATAAAATTTCAGGCAACCTGTCCAAACCCATCTCAAATGTCTTGTGTGTATTTAAAGAGCAGCACATTTACTTTGTCCTTTGAAATGTTTTTAAGACAACTCCTCAATGCAAGTGTCCCCTCAGTGGCAGGAATTTAACAAAGGATCCAGGTGGAATTGTAGCTGTGTGAGGAGCATCATGGGAAAAGAAGTTTTCTTTTCCCCCTAGAAATTCCAGAGTTCTGGATCACATTGTTCCAAGGAACGCAGTGCAGTTCCTCAAGATAGCTTGTGTTTGTGTAGTTAAATTGTCATTTTCACCCTCTAAGGTGCATTTGTTGTCTCAGAGGCAGAAGAAAACACAATTGTTGTTGTGGTGCTGAATGCTGAATCTGATGCTGGAGGTTTCAGTGCTCTAATCTGGGGCATTTGGGGTTATTGCACCACAGGCAATATTGCATTTATTCACTGAGCCACTGCTTTGACTCCTTCACATTTCCCTGAGAGTCCCCTAAATCAAGCCATGTGATTCTGCCTTTCCTGCCCCACTCAGAGGAAAAAATCCCATCTGAAAGTAAAGGATTCCCTTTCACCCTTGGTGGTGGAGCAAGGCTGGGTAGATGGATTCTGGATTCTCTTTCAGCTCTGACTTAAGGGACCTGAGCTGGGACATTTTTGGTGTATAACAGGACAGGATTAATCAGCAACTTTAACATTATCTCCTAACAGAGATAAAGGTGAAAACCAGGCTCGGGGAAAGAAGGCAAAGAAAGCCAGAAGGACATAACGCAGCTGAGTTCAGCTGCTCCCTGCATGTGGCCTTGGAGGAGCATTTTTGTCATCAGCCTCATTGCAGGTGACCTGGAAGGACAGGAAAATCTGTGGAGTGCATTCCAGGGGAACTTGAGTCCAAATTGTCACTAAAAGTTTGATTTTGGCTTCCAGATTGAAATCACGTGCCACCTGGAAAGGGCCATAAGTGGATTCCTGGATTAGGTCTCTGTAACCCTTTTTTCCATCTATTCACCTCACTGAGTGTAAAGGACTGAATATACACGTATTTTTGTGACATTTTTGGTTCCAGTCCCTAGGGACCAATATTATGATATGTCTACGACTTAATTCCTTAGAAAGAAGGAGTGAGGAGTTTGCTGGACATGGAATTATGGCCAAGGGTTAGTCCCTGAACAGTAAAACCCAGCAGATGCAAAGATAAACTCTGAGCTTTGGGAGAGGGTTGGGTGTTCCCAGAAGAGTTTGGAGCAAGTGTTTCCTTCTCCACCTGCATGTGCCATGAAGGGCATATGGAATGGCAACTTCACCTAATTCTGGCACAGACCATGTAGTTTTGGAGACCTTTTTTGTAGGACTCTGGATATCCACAGAAGCTACAGTCCTGAGGATCTGTGCGAGGGCTTGGGAATCAGTCGTGCATTTACCCCTGACTTAGGAAAGCCAAGGGTTGAAGCTGCATGAGCAGCAAGCAAACTCCCTTCCTCTGACCTTTTGGAGCTTAATAAATCTTTCAGATTCCTATTCCCATGGGGCTCTCCCAGTTGTTTACAAATTTCTCAGCATGGGACCCCTTCAACTATAAATAATGGGAGAATTTTATTGCTTTGTTTTCCATGAAAATAAAAGAGTACATCAAGGAGCTCTCTCCTTCCTCCACCCTTTCCTATTCAGCTTATGGAGAGCTATTTTTACCTCTTCAGACCTGGCTCCAGGGTAATGATGGCACATTTTTAAGGTGCCTATAATTCTAAATACTCAAAAAAAAAAAAAGTGGCAGAAATGCTTTTGTGCTGAAGTGCTGAGACTGGGTGTGAACTCTGAACTCTTCTTTTTCTACCTGGGAAATTCAGGAACAAAACAAACTCCTCCCAGGGTAGGAACCCTGGCAAAGCCAGGCCATCATTGGGAATTTTAGCACTAATTCTGTCTGTAAGCTTTTTAAACTTTGCTTTTACTGAGATCTTCCTTTCACAAACCAGAATAACCTTGCAGACAAAAGGAAGTACTGTTGGGAAATCCTTTGAGACGCTGGGCAGGTGGATGAAACAATTCCTTCCCCACCCAAGAGAGCACACATTCTTCCCCTGGTCGCAAAATACATCTAAAACCCCCCAGGTGCCTGAGTTTGAACATTTACTAGTTGAACAAAAGCACAAGATGAAAGAGAGCAATGTTTTCTTTTTAAATTTCCAACACTGGTATTGGGTTCAGTTTTGAAATCAGCCCAGTCACACCTCTTGTCTCAACCAGAGGAATCTCTCATGATAAATAAGCCACAGTAAGGGGTTTTATTTCAGACACAGCTGCCAAAGAGAGACAAAAATAAGTTTCTTTCCCATCTTAAAGGCTTCACTCACCTGTGGCACCAGTGGGTTCTCACACATCAGTGCAGTGTAAGTGATACAAATGTTAGTTTGTTTTTTTCTTCTCATTTTTCTTATTGACAGCAAAGAAAATCCCTCCTGTGTTGACTTGGGAAGCAGCATGGATGGACTGGGCTGTGAGACCCCCACAGAAGGAGTGATGTGGCAGCAGGAGAAATTCAGCTGTAAAATGTGTCTTCATTTACAGACACCTCCTTAGGGCCCCCCTAGGCACAGTCTCAATTGTTTCTTTATCAGCTTCCTAAAGTGGAAGATTGCAAATTGCTTCTGAAATCTTCCAACTCTTCCCCCTAAGACTGAATTTTTTACATTTAGAAGAGAGGGGCTCTTTTCTTTGTAATGGGGCATGTCGGGGGACTGGTAAATTAATACTTGTTTACTTATATACTCCTGCTGTTCCGTTCAAATACATTCCAAGGGCTCCTCTTTCTGCATTAAGGATATCAGCATGTTGTTTGTTCTATAACCTGGGAGAGAGCATAACAATATAGCTTCTCACCAGGGTGCACACCAGCAACAAATTGAATAAAAGGAAGCAAACTGATTCTCAGAACACAAAGCTTCTGGGTAATCAGAATTGCAGATGCTTGGCTGAGTGTTAAAACTCTTTGCCATCAATCTGACCTTCTCCTGTCTTATTACTGAAGATACTTTCTGGGTGTACTTTGGGGGAGAAACTTGAAAAAATGCTGAACAATAAATACTTGTGGGGAGACCAGAGCTATGTGACACTATTGTGCCAGTTTTAGCTAAGAAAACGAGCCTTAAAACCTTTCATTTTATAAGAATATGAACATATTAATAATCCTAAATGTTGCACAAAGGAGCAAGAAGTATGGAAGCATTTAATGTCACTGAATTGAAATATTCAGTATAATTTTACCAAGAAAATGAACAAAACATGAATCCTCTTTTGCCAGGAGCTATCCATGAGCCCCATGTATCCCACCAGGCTACAACAATTAGAAATGATCTGTTAAATTCCTACCTGTTGCCCCTCACACCCCTTGAATTTCAGTGTGGGCATCACCAGGTCATGTACCAAGGAAACCAAAAAGGAATCCCAAGTGCTCAGATGTGACAATGATGGATTATTAGAGACAGATCAAAGTCACTGCAGTGGAAGAAGTTTGGCTCCAACTCCCTGACCTGGCTGGAGGAAAAGCCAATTTGTGCCCTGTCCATCTGATAAAACTCTTCCTGCACACTTCTCAAGGCAGGGAAAAATCCTTGCAGTCCCAGTTTTGCTTCCCAATTCTTTCCCCACTGAATCCACGGATGTGGCATTAAAAAAAGGGGTGGTACCTGAGCGAGATGCTGCTGTTGCTTGGTGTCTACAAAGTTCAGGAGAAAGGCCAAGTCATTTTCATCTCTCCTTGCCAGGACACTGAGTGGGGCAGCTGCCCCTGCCACATTCCTGTTCTGCAGCTGCAGCACAGCCAAGCGAGCCCTGGCAAAGTCCTCAGCAGGACAGTGACCAAAGGCTTCCTGCAGATGCTTGAGGGCCTCTTGGTGCTTTCCTGTTGGGGAACACCAGCACAAACTCCATTACCGATCCCATGGGGAGAAAGACACTGGGAAACCTCAGCAATGCAGGGTTCAAGGCAGCCAGTCCACATCTAAAGGTGTTAATTATGTCATACCCAGAACCAAAATGTTTTCAGACTTCTCTTGAGAAACACCATCCAGCACTGTCCAGCATTATCCAGCACCACCCAGCACCATCCAGCAACACTCCTGACATTTAATATTCACTTCTACTCATTTTCTGCTCATTCAGCAGGCCTGACCAGCTGTGTTGAAGGACTGGAACTCACCATTTGCCATCAAAACATCAGTGTAGAAGATGTGATGTGCAGTCCTGCAGATTTTGGTCAGTGCTTTTGCCATCGTGAGAAGGTCCCTGAGAGTTTCTTCTCTCGAAAGGTCTTTGGTGGCCACATGCTTGGTGAGAGTGGCCCTGCCATGCTGGAGGAGCCACTCAGTGACCAACACTTGGGCTTCAGGCTTCAAGGATAGGATTGCTGGGATCACTGCTCCTGCCTCCACCTTCAGTGCTGAGATCAGATCTTGCACTGCCTCCTGTAGAAAAAAACCACAATGGAAAGAAATGGAAGCAATAGTTAAGTATTGGTCATTTGTTCTTTCAGCTGCTTTCTGGTCTCTGCTGAACCATGGAAAAACTTTGCTCTTCTCTGTCCTTATGCTGCAGTTTTTCCATTTTCAAAGCTGATAGGAGATAATAAAGGCAGGTTTGAATGAGTGTTTGCTAAGTGTTTTAAACGCCTTGGGTTATCACAGAAAATAACGGCCAAGGTTTAGTCTTCCTGTCTCTAGGCTTGGAAAAGAAAATCAGTAACCTCAAGTGGGCTGCTTATACACTCTGGGCAAACCCAGAGCCTTTCACTGCCCAAATTCTGTGAGAAACTTCTGATTCCACTGATTCCACAACAAATTCTGTGATACTTTACACTCATATTTTTCAATACCCTCAGGAAAATCAGCAAAGCCCCACATGGACAGTACCTTCTGCTGCCTCAGAGCAAGGTGAATGAACCCTCGGCCACTCAGAGCTTGCACATTCCTGGGCTCCTTCTTCAGGACTGCATTAAAATCAAAAATTGCAGTTTTCATCTGCCCCAGGCACTCATAGCATCGGGCCCTGGTGAGGAGGCAATCCTCAGCATAACCACCTGGAAGACAGGGATGCAGCCATGGTTACTGCAAGGATACCTACAGGAAGCTACAAAAAAGCTCCACTTGGCTTGAGGATACCTCAGGATGAAGTACAATGAGAGTTTGCTGAAGTGGAAGTTTCCATTATTTTTGTTGCAAGTGGAATTCCTACTATGTGTGATCAGCCATGAGTTGAAAAGAAAAAAGAATCTGTGTCAGGTTGGAGTAGGAGAAGCACGAATGAGAGGAGAAAGCACTAAGAGGGAGATTTGTGACTATGTGTGAGTGGAGGCATGAAGCCATTTGGCTGTTTTTATAAAGTAGGGTCAGAATCACAGAATAGTTTGGGTTGGAAGGGACCTTAAAGAGTCCCCAACCCCCTGCCACAGGCAGGGAAGGTACACATTGTTTTGGATAAATGAGTTATCCAGATGGAACTGACCAATTCCCTGCCAGAATTAATATGCACTAGGATTTGTGATACTGAGCTGCTTTATTTCCCCTCTGCTTTCACACAAGTGCTGCCCAAATAAACACATAGAGTTGTCAGTGAAAATCCTGGTCCCTCCACTCCCTGCCTACAGAACATTTCTCTCCCTGCCATTCACGTATCACTTCCTTCCAAGGCAATTTCGATAAGGATCTTAACATGCCATGGGTTGAAATCAATAACTGTGGCATCCAATATTGGATGATAAATCATCAGTGCCACTGGAAATATGTTTTCATAGGGAGGTCAGCAAAAGCAGATTCCTGCAGGGATCAGCCAGCAGATAGGCTCCAAGCAATTCCTCTGCAGTAATGAGGCTTTTTCTCCCTCCTGATTTCCTCCAAAACTTCTATACCAAAGGTTATTATCACTCTGGAGCTCTACCAGTTGGCTTCTCTAAAGACAATATCTATTTCTTAACAAGCATCTGTTTTAGCAGGTGGGGAGCTGATAAGCTGGAATGCATGGGCTGTGAAATAGAACCATCTCCAAGCAATTAACAGGATTTTTATTCCATTTCCACGAGCCAATCCCTCTTCTTCTCAGTGCTGCTGTCATAACATTTGCTCAGAGTGAAAGGCAGATTTCCATACAAACATGGTTTTACTTGGAACAGACCAAAAGCATTTCCATGTCAGCCTGGTGCCTCTCCTGAGGGAAAGCTGGGATAATGAAATGTGTGAGGGGCTGCATTTGTTTCTTTGCACTGGGTGAGGAAAAGGGGCTGATGTTCCTGTAGAACTGAGTTGAACCCATTTCAAGAAATTTAAATTTTATTTCCTTATTGTTTAACTACACCACTTCATGGCCCAGGTGAACCTGCTGTGTCAGCTCTCACCAGGGAGGTGACAGAGGAGATCTGGACATCCCGTCCCACCCACGGGATTTCCCTTAGGAGCAAATCCCCAAGGGCATCCTGGTGTCCTACCTGCAGCAAGGATGGCAAAGGACAGGTGGGCAATGGCCTCTTTGATGGCAGCACCCCCCTGTTTGCCCTTCAGGATGGCCTGGGCTTGCCAGTGGCAGTGGCTTTGTAGCAGTTTTCTGTCCTCATCCTGGAAAATGTCCAGGATTGGCAGGAGGCAGGAGGAGTCTCCAATTCTGATCAGTCTCTTCAGCAGCTTAAGGATGGGAGAGGAAAAGACAGTGGAGAAAACTGAATGAGATGTGAGGTTGTGTGTGAGACCATTGTACCCTTCCCCAGCTTCCCCATCTCTCCCTGGGGCTTCAGCAAGCCCAGGGCCACAAATCTCCTTGATTTATCTCTTCAGCTGGCCCTGGTGTGAATGCAGGTTGGAGAAAACAGGAATTCTTATCTTTCCTCACCACCACTGCAGCGGTGGAAATAATTCAGGGCAAATACCTGGTGCTGCCTGCTTTGTTTTGGGCAGCGTCTGCTCCACATTGGCAGTGGAGTGTTTTTACAAATACAGGATGATTGCCCAAAAAAGAGAATGTTCCTGTGGAACACAAGGGTTCCAGCGACCCTTTTGACTGCAAAATCAAAACCAGTGAATTAATGGAAAATTAAGTAAGTGCTATAACTTATTTTTAGTACTGTTATTGGGAATCTGGGAAAAGCATGGATTCGAACCCACAAACTACTGTCCCCCTGGAAAAGAACCCTGTCTGGTATCTTTGCCTCAACAAGCACTTTTTTTACTGCATTTCCAATGAAAATTAATCAAAAGATGCTTTTTACAGTGCTCAGCAGGGGCTGGATATTCAAATCTGTGCCAGAGAAGCCTGGACAAGAACAAAGTTATCCTGATATACTAGACAGATCCCCTGGACTCATAAATTTCTCTGTTTTATTAATAGATAAAAGTGATTGGCATCTGACAGACAGGTGGGATAAAACATTTTGAAGAGAAATTTTCAGCTGTTCCTTGTAGAACTTGCAGCAGAAGCTGCAGATGGCGATCCAACTTCCAAGGGCAGCACTCTAATGAAGCCATACCCTTCAATAACAGCCTTCCCAAAGGCAGCAGATTATAGTAAACTTACTTTTCGAGGGAGTAGTGATGTGATGACAATAAAACCTTTCTTCTTATCAGTCAGCAGAATTTATATGGCATTTTAAAAAAAAATACAACAGTTCCCTCTGATGGCAGAGCCTGGGAATTCAGTTTTGTAATCCTGAGTAGGAGAACCAACTTGCTGGAATGGCTTTCAGGGTTTCAAGCACAATTTATCAGCATTGGCGAAAGAAAACTGCAGACTGATATTGGAGTTTCTGTGTTTGTGTCTTTCTTCTCCAATGCTTCATTAGGATAACTAGGGGAGTGACACTTGTGCCTTCTTTTCTCTAAGAGAACATTCCCAATCCCATAATGTTGTCCCCAGGGATAGGATGCTCTGCCTGGTTAAAATGCTGAGAAATGCCACAAAAAAGCATGTGAGGAATGAGCTGGATTTAGCTGTGAGTCCTTGTGTGGCCTTTTTGGACACAAATTCCTGTGAATCTATGGTTTTATGGCAATACCAGCCCTGTATTTACACCCCAAAGTTCTGCTAGAGGTTCTGCATGTGGGCTCCAAGTTTCACTGTCATAGCTCTCCCTGTTGCTATTCAGGGAGCTCCTAACAGCAAAGCTTAGTTCTAAAGGGGAAATGCACCAAAACCAAAAACACAGGGATTAATCTGTAATTTCACTGCAGTCTTGGGCAAACCTGGCAAATCAGCTGTTGAGGAGGGAATGATCCCGAGGATGAGGCTTTCCAGGTGCTCCTTACCTGGTTGCCATTGTACACAAAGCCCTTCTTGAGCTGCAGCAGGGCCAGCCTGGCCAGCACAGGAGCTCTCTGGGGGTTCCTGGAGAGGGACAGTGAGAGCATCTTGTGGGCTTCTTCCCCACGGCCCATCTGGTACAAGGCGTCAGCACACAGGATCCGGGATGCCTCATCAGAGCTGTCCAGCTCCACCAAGAGAGAAGCCAGCTGGAAAACCCCAGGGGCATCTCTGGAGGGGAAAAAAACCAACAAAACAAAACACCTTCAAGGTTAGGAATGTGCACAGCCCTGTTTGCTTTTTCTGAAGGGAAATTGAGCTGCCTCCTGGGTACCTCTTCTTCTGGAGCATCATCTGTCCTTCCTCCTGGAGGACCTTCAGCAGTAATCCCCTCTGGTTCCATGGCACATAGGACTTGATGGTGAAGATGGTTTCTTCCAGCTTTAACTGGCAAGCTGTGATATAATCCAGGGCTGTCAAGTAATTACTGCCACCAGAAATGCGGATCAGTCCACGCCCACACAGGGCTTTGATGCAGCTGTTGGGATGTGGGGAATCATGCTCAATGACCCTCTGGAAGTCCTGCAGGGCTCTGTGGTGGTCCTGGGCATGGAGGGAGCAGAAGCCTCGCAGTGCCAGCAGGGTGTTGTGGTAAGTGTTCTGTTCTGCTGCCAGCAGCTGCTCACACATGTCCAGGGCAGCTCTGGGATATCCCTGCAGGAGGTGACAGTCTGCTAGCCGGACACTGAGCTCCCGACTGGACCCTGGGCAGATGTGCAGGAGCAGCTGGATTGTCTGGATGACAGGAGGGAGCAGCTCAGTGCCATGACTGCCCCTGAGCTCAGCCCGAGCACGCACAGCCTTCCTGTATGTGGCAAACTTCCCCTCCAGGGCAGCTCTGGCCTGCTTCTTGATCTTCTCAACCTCACAGGGTGAGAAAAGCTCTTCAAAGCATTTCATTGCCAGGGCAGGGTCTGCTGCAAAGGCTGCTGCTAAATCCTGCATCATTTCCTGCATCCATCCACCCAGGAAGAAATAGCCGGCAGCTCGTTCCAGGCGCAGAACCAGAACATCCTCACCTCTGAGATTCTCAGCTGAGAAGCCCTCAAGGGCCTTGGTGCAAACAGCCACACACTCTTGAAATTCACCTGTTTTTAGGAGGTGAGCTGCTTGTGCCCTGCACACCCAGGTGTGCCCTGGTGCTACCGCAGCCAGGAAGCTGTAGCAGTCACCCAGCCACTGCTCTGAGGACCTGCAGCCTGGGCTTTCCTCCTGGTATGTGGAGAGGTGATCAGAGAAAGCCTGGATGACCTGGGGCAGGTGCTCCCTTTGCCTGTCATACACGTAGGCCACTGCCTCAGTTTGATGCAGCACAAAGGCTTGGACATAATCCATGATTCCCTTCCCAACCTGTGTCCCTGAGAGCACCTGTGCCAGCGCCCTCAGCAGCAGCAGCTCCATGGAATCCCTTGGATTAGCTTCCAGCAGGAGATTGCATTTGCTCACCACCTCCTCTGAGCACCCTCGCTGGAGCAGGGCCTCCAGCTTGTACACCAAGGCCACCACATTGTTTGGGATCAGGGTGGAGAGGAAAATTGCAGCTATTCCCACGCTGAGGGACACCACAGCCAGGTTCCTGCTCTGGATCTTGGGGATCTGACACTTGCCTTTGCACCAGGCCTCCAGGGTGGCCACCACTTGCTCCCACAGCCCACGGGCCATGGAGCTCACTCTCTGCACTGCTGTGGGGCCACAGCAGCTGAAGGCAGCCAGGTAAAAAGCGGTGGCTGCTGGAAATTCCTGCTGGGAGAGGCGCTCATCCCCTTCCCCACAGAGCAGGGTGGCAAGGTCCTCGGGTAACATTTCCTGTGCTTGGGCCTTCACCAAGCGGCATCAGGGGCAGAATGCGGATGGGGCCTGTGAAACAGAAATGAGCAAACCTGTGGAGCACAGGTTTGACAGAAAATCAGCAGTGAGGGGCTGTGGAAAAGAGCTTTCACAGAAAATCAGCCATGAGGGGCTGCAGAGAACAGGCTTGAGAGGAAATCAGCAATGGGGGACCATGGAGCAGAGTTTTAGCAGAAAATCAGCCACAAGGAGCTCTGGAACACAAGTTTTTCTGCTTGGAGGGAGCAGCTTTTAAAACGCCAGATATCATCAAGCCCACTTGCTGTGAAAAGCCAGGGTTTGGTCACTGCCAGGTTTCTGGGAGAGTAAAGCCATGCGGAGAAACATCACAGAGGTTCACAGTGCCCAGGCAGGTTGGAAAGCATCCACACCCCCGGTCAGCGTTCCCTGGCCATGGAATGAGGCTGGGACACCCATCTGATGAATCTTTAATCATCAGTGTCGCTGCTGGTGGGGGACATGGAGGAGTCAGAGCCACGCTTGGATGCCTCACCCACCCCTTACCTTTTCCCTGGAGAAAGGAGAAAATCCACTTTTCCACCCAGTGGAAAGGACGAGGCTGCTGCCCCTCATCCCGCACACCTGGGCCCGGCCCTGGCGGTGCGGGCGGAGCGCGGATACCTGAGAGGACACGAGCCCGGGGCTGGGGCGGATGGGACGGGAGGGATGGAGGAAAGGCAGGAGAATAGGAGGGAGGGAGAACAGGGCAGGAGCGGGCGCTGTGTTGCCTGGAGACCGCAAACACAGCACGGTCCGGCTGTCCTGCGGGGCGGGCACTGGGACCGTGCCTGTGCTTCTCCCTCCTTATCCCGTGGGACCGGGCGGGATGCTCGGGCCATGGCCACGGCAAGGATCCTCCTCATCTGACAGAAATGATTCCTCACCTTGGGGAAAGGATCCCACTCCCTCTGGGAAAAGAATCCTCCTCACCTTGGGGAAAGGATCCTCCTCACTTCGGGGATAGGTTTCCCCTCACTTTGGAGAAGGGATCCCCATCACCTTCAGGAAACTAACCCAGGTCATGACCCTCAGCAGGACAAGATACAGGGAATTACACAAACCAGCAAACTCTGTGATGCAGCCTAAACTTTTAACATTATTTTTTATTAATAAGCCTTATTTTTTAATTATAAACATTATTTTTAATAGTAATCCTCAGTTTTGAAAATCCACTCTTACTTTTTAAATAGTAACCCTTATCTTTTAAATGATAACCTTTATTTTTAAATCATAACCCTTATATTATAACAAGTAGAATGTTTTTAGCAGTAGATCAACTCTGTTTTTAGGAGTGTTTAGCACAATGATGTCCCTTTAAGCCAGGGCCACTCAGAGGTCCAACTCTTTCTTTCTCCACATTTTTGACATTCAAAAGAGTAAAAAACCCCTCTATGATGGATAGAGATTTTTTGACATTTTATTAAGAGCTCACACATTAAGTTGATTTGATTACTTTCACTTTAATTACCCTAATTAGCCATCAAGATATAATTTAGCATTGCTGTCACATTGGGCTGCAGGTGATATTGCCAGAAAAAGACTCAAGGGCACAACAGAAGCAGCTCTGAAATAGAAATCACATTAAGGGGAGCTGAGTTGATCAAATGCCTCTGTCCCTCCTTGGAGGCTCAGGCAGAGCTTGTGGGAATAAAACTGGGACTGGTGCCTCTGACAGAGCCTGGTCCAAGCTGCAAAAAATCATTACCCATCATCTGACTTTGCTGCATGACTGAGTGGGCTGGAAGTTTCTTCCAGCCACGTTTTGCCCCATAGATACAGAGAACATGAAGATGACATTGTCCTCCATCCATCATTTCCAGCTGAAAAAGGCTGGTTTGATAAGGATCCCATGTGCTCCCTGCTGTACACAGATGGTTTAGGGGATGCTGTGCTTGGCCAAAAAGCCAGTAGCCTTATGAAATGTTATTTTGTTGACTTAAGGTGAGAAAAGCACAACCAATTTTATGTTGTGTATCAAACTTTAATCAATTTAGGTTCATAACTTTGGCTCTTGAAGGAGTAAGAGGAGCAACATCTAAGGAGCTCAGTGGAAAAAGAAAATATTTCTCTGTGCTCCGGTGATCTCTGAGAGTGTGTGTTTAAACCTGTTGTTGTAAGATGTGGAACCAGCAATGTCTCTTAAAGGTTCTTATCAAGCCCCCAAATGGTTTGCTGTGTCCTGTGGGGTAGATAAGATCAGCTCCTTTCCTAAAAGGATAATAAAAACGCAGGGGAGGGGGTGAAAATTGTGGAAATGTCTATCTAAACATTAAATATTAAATCTGTTACACACTCATTAAATAGTAACTCTACTACAACAGCTCATCAGGATGTCTCTGATTACTGATGAATTTTTAAAGGGAGGTGGGTGAGGAGGGAGCACATACAGAACAAGTTTGCAAACTTTGTTTTTCCTGCTTTACAGAGCACAAACACATCAGCAACAGCCCTTCCCAGAGACAGGGCTGAGAAATCTTGCACTTCTTTCTTTTAAAGGCTCTCAGTTCTTGCAATGTAACAAGTCCCTTCTCTTGTGGCTGTTAAATGCCACATGTAGCTAGGGCTGAGCCTGAAGAATCAGCATTTTGGGCTTGAAAATTTGGCTGAAAAGGAGCATGACTATTCTTTGACAGAAAGGAGCATAATGGGGTGGGGTATTAATGTAAAAAAATCTTTGATTTATTTGATGACTGTTTTTCACTCTGAGCTGTACCTGGGCAGGAGAGCAGACCCCAAATTCGACTCTCTAGGCTGGTGTAAACATTCAAGCTGGAGAATGAAGATGTTTGTCCTAAATGATTCAGGATGGGTGACCGGGTGCCCTCCCCACTGAAGCCAAGTAGTTCTGCTGGTGTGTGAAGCCACACGATGAAATTTCATCCCGAGGCATCTTTAGTTCCTCGCCCTCAGTCTGTTGGGAGAGCTGGGCTGCTGGGAGCTCTGTTGTCAGCCTGAGGCAGGATCTCCTTCTCCTGTGGAGGGAATTTGCAGTGCTGGCACCATGTCCCCATGTCCCCAGAACTACTGCTGTTCCTTTGGGTCCCAGCAGAGCTCAAATAGAGACCTCTAAGCATTGTTGGTGACAGTTCTGCTTCCTAATGCAGTCTGGTACCCGTTTTCAGGATATTTTCAGTCTTTTAAGTGCTGTTATTATCACAGCATCATTGAGGTTGGAAAAAATCTCCAGGATCAGAGAACAAGCTGTGCCCAATCCCGGCCCTGTCACCAGACCAGGGCACTGAGTGCCACGTCCAGGCCTTCCTCAGACACCCCCAGGGATGAGGACTCCAAATGTCCCCAGGGAACCTCTTCCAAGGCCTGACCACCCTTTCCATGGAGAAATTCCTGCTGATGTCCAGCCTGACCGTCCCCTGGCACAGTTTGGGGTTTGTTGCTGTTGCCACGTGCCTCGGGGGAGACAAAGAGTTACGTTGTCCCATCCCAAACCCCTTGCGAAGGGTGGCCCAGGAGTTCTGATTGGGTTTGAGTCCCTGGGGGGGTTCTCCCTTGCTGTGTTTCTAGAGGTCCCTGACCCTGAACTCCACCCTCAAGGGTGGAGACCCTCGGGAGTTCTGTCCCTCAAAAACCCCGGCTCTGCCTTTGTTCGAGGCTCTCTGTTCTGCATCTGAGTTTGTTCCCATGCTGAATAAATGGTTTCATGAACCGGGAGCCCGTCTCATTGGTGTTCCATGCTGGTCCCAGAACCCTGCAGCTTCCCTGGATGAGATCCTGAGGTTGCTGACTGCAGCAGTTGCTGTTCCCTGGGAGCAGAGCCTGACACCCCTGGGCTTCACCCTCCTGTCAGGGAGCCTTCTTTTCCCCAGGACTTAAAATCTTATTATAGAATATTTCAGACAGCTCTTTGGTCAAACTTTTGTTCTCACCAGATAATCACAAGCTCCTGGGGCTCCCTGGGTTATGAAGGTATGTGGGCACAGAAAGCCAAAATGATCTCTCCATGCACTGGACTCCTTTCATCTCTGCTCACCCAATAAGAATGGCAATGCAAATGATTGCAGGGATCTTCGATAAGGAGCAGGATTAAGATGCACTTGAGTGAGATTACAAGAAAAGCATGGTTGTTCCATTAGAAAAAGGAATAATCCCTTTGTTTATGTTCTGGAGACTAAAGCAGTGACAGCAGAAAGCACACGGAGGTCACCACACACAGATTTGCTGTCTCAGTGGCTGTCTGAACTGTGATTCTGGGATTCAGCCGTGCAATTACAGAATTTAATCCATTCTCCTTGTGCTGGGAGTTCTGCAGTGGCTCCATGTGAGGCCGGGAAGTGGCTCTGCCTGTTCCACAGGCAAAAATATATGCTTGACTTGGAGTAAAAATCTGTGGGGTGAATGAAAAGGTTCCCTTATGATGTTCATGATGTTCTCTTAGGATGTTCATGCACCTGTCTTCCCCTCTGATGCTGCATCCTTTAATACAAAGGCTCAAGGGTAGAAATTTCCAGCTGAAATCACATAATTATGATGTTGGAAGAGGCTTCCAAGATCATCAAATCAAACCTTTGACCAGTCACCACCTTGGCACCCAGACCAGAGACTTGAGTGCCACATCCAGTCATTAAATTGATGTTTAAGAGATCTCTTAATTGTGTGGGTGGAAGGTGGCCCAGGCCAGAGAAGTTTTAGCCTGGTCATTTTATAATCTGACCCAGTCAGTCAGGATCTGGCTATTATAAAGGTCACCCCCTGTAATCTTGTCCTTTCCTGCTCTGAGTTATTCCACTGGCGTTTCCCAGCCTGTCTTTGCAAGTCTAAGATTTTCTAGATGGAAAGTGCTGAAATCAGGAGCAGTTGGGTCATGTGTGACTGGCGACCAAGACCAATCTCTGGACAGCCAAACATCCCAGTCTTCCCACCCTCATAATTAGGCTGATTTTTCATCTGGCTCAGCACCTCTGTGTCCAGTGAGGGACATTGGAACAGGTCTGTTTGAACAAATTCCTCAATATGCCAAGTGAGGGGCATTTAAAAAAATAGCTGTGCCCTCTGCTTCTGTTCTTCCCAGTGCAAAGTGGCAAAGCCATTACATTTCTGTGGTGTGCTGTGTTATTTTCTATGTTTATTTAGGATAGAAGCATTTGAGGCTGAGGACAGTGATGAGTTCGATAGGCTGAGCCTCAGAAGGGACTCCCAGCACTGCTGCAACTTGGAATAACAGACCATGAGGCATAAAAAAGGGAAGCTGTTAATGTTGCCAGCTGAAATTAAACACTGTTAACCAGCCCACTTTATTCCTCCTCTGTTAATATTGAAGCTCTCTGCTCTTATTTCCCCTCATTCCTTCCCTGCTTTCCAAACAAACAGGGATAAGGGGATGTTGTTAAGGGATAACGTGTTTGGTTCTGCAGTTTCCAAGTCATCTGGGCCTGCAGTAAGTTTATCAACCAGCCATGGCAACATCAATCACCCAGAAAAATAGCACAGAGTGAAATGACTTTTCAAAATGTCGTTGGTATAATTATCGTCTTGGCCATTACATTAAATGCCACCATTTATAACTGTTATGTTTAAGTATGCAAACAGTAATTAACTTGGTAATGAACTGAGGTCCCCTGTGCCTTTCTTCCCTCAGCTAATTTGCATGTTAATTATCATTAGCAACCAGGGAAACAAGTTATAAACAGCTTAATTAGCAGCTTAATCA